TTCGGGGTCAACGTCCCGATGGCACTGTTGCCCTGGCTGCTGCTGACCCTGGCGCTGGTTGTCCCGGGCAACAGCTTCCTCTGCAACCTCATCGCCGTCGCCGTGGGAGACATCTGTATCCTTTTCTTCCCTCCCCCTCAGGTTCTCTTAACTCCTATCAGCACCAGGTCCCAAGTGTTTTCCTCTACGTCTAGGTAAGTTTTTCTTCTCCACCCAAAGAAGAGAGCCCATTTTAAATATGCAGAATCCCCCATCATTTTTGATGCTCACTGCTCTAGTGTAAAGAAAGATTGGGCAGATGCTCCACTTTATCTCTGCTGGCTGGCGTTGAGGGTTGGCGATGCTCGTCCCTGTGGCTCAGGGTTTTCAGACCCGCGGCTGAGCTGTGAGGGGTGACAAGCGTCAGACAGGTGGCTGCTGCTGACTGCTGGGTCATTAAAGATCCCGTGGCTCCAGTCCCAAGAGCAGAGGACTGCTGTAATCTGGCCTCCCTAAAATCCCCCCACCATTCATCAGGTGAACAGTGAAATTTCTCACTCCTCTGCCTGATCTGCTGTGCCGAATGGCTGCTGTTCGTCACCCAGGTGGGGCTGCACCTCAGTGGTGTAAATCGTGGGTGCCCTCTAATGGGTGAAACCTTTTTGAGAACCTTTGGGACACAAGTGCCATATAGTAATAATTTTAGCAGTCAGACGAAAGTTACCAGAGTGTATGTGTGCACAATTGCCAGCTTAGCTACTGTCGACTGTCAGACTCAGGATTGGCACAGCAGGTCTCAGTCAGAATCGGATGAGAACTGGAGGTGGTCTCCGAGTGAGGAATGCGCTGGAGTGGTGAGCAGTGTGGGGCATCTCGCTCGCTCAGGCTGGGCTGACCTTGACTGGAGCTGTGAGCGCAGACGCGAGAGGGTGGTGCTCCGTCTGCCAGCTGTCGGAGGCGAGAGCAGTGCTCCTGGACCGGAAGCTGCCCTTCAGGCTGTGGAGGAGGCTGGGAGGATCGCTGTACGTCCCGGCGTCGGCAGAAGAGAGGAGGGCAGCCCTGCAGACTCCGTACGTACAGCTCGGAGTGCGGGAGACCCGCTCTGTCCTGGTTCAAGGTCTCTCTGCGCTCAGTTCAAGTCCAGTCGAGTTTTATTACCTTCTAGGAGAGAAACGTATTGTGTGGCAGAGTCCAACACCACAGTACAACATAAACATCACTAGCAAAGAGTTCAGACAGCAGCATTTCAGATTTTATTTCACTTTAAGAACGACAGTGCTTTTTTTCCCCCATTTTCAATCTCATCTTTCTTACGGCATGACCTTCAGTTGCTACTCCAGATATGGAGTTTTTTAAGTTATAAATGTGGTGTTTGAGATAAATTAATCAGCGGCAATGTGGCTTAAAGGTTCAGCTTTGCTGCCTCACAGCGCTGGGGTCCTGGGTTCAATTCTGGACGTGGGCTGCTGTGTGTATGTTCTCTCTGTGTTCATGTGGGTTTCCTCTGGGTGCTCCAGTTTTCTCCCACAGTCCAGAGACATGCAGGGTAGGTTAATTAGGGCGGAGCGGTGGCTCTGTGGCTAAGGATCTGCGCCTGTGAGTGGAAGGTTGCCGGTTCAAATCCTGCAGCCGGCAGAGGAATCCTACTTCGTTGGGTCCCTGAGCAAGGCCCTTAACCCCAGCTGCTCCAGGGGTGCCGTACAATGGAAGACCCTGCGCTCTGACCCCAAGCTTCTCTCCCTTTCTATGCGTCTGTGTCTCCATGGAGAAAAGCTGGGGTATGTGAAAAGACGAATTCCTAATGCAAGAAATTGCCTGGAGGAATGGCTAATGATATATCTGCACTCTTCATTTCTGAATGGTTAATGCTTTTATTCCTTTCCTTCCCTTTGCAGAATCAAACCAATCCCGGGCTCCTATCCAGTTCAAGCCTATGCTCCGCTGTCCAGCCTGCCATCTCCCCACACTCCCGAGATGCATTCCCAGAGTTTCGAGGGCTGGCGGAACTCTCCCTGTAGTCACGGTCACGGACACAGTCACGGGCATTCGGCTGCCCACCACATGCCCAGCCCGAGTGCCTGGGGAGTCCCTGCTGGGCACACTCATTCCGCCCCCCCAGCCCTCTTTCCTGGGTATCCCGCCAGCTGTCCCCTCTCCACGATCAGTCCGGGAGGCCGCCCGCCTGGTGGGAGTAACGCCGGGGTCCCCGAGGTGACCGTGCCGGTGGGCAGTGCCGCTGTGGCGCAGCAGGGGCCGGCAGTGTGGAGTCCCGCCGGCCCTGTGGTCAGATAAAGAGCTCCTGTCCTGTGATGGGAAGATCGGCTCGTGCCTGGTGTGTCCTCTGGTGCAGCTCGTGTCCAGTGACGCTGCATGGAGAGCTCAGTACGGGGGTGACCTGCATCGGCATCGGCATCGGACTGCATTTATTAGCCATGAACGGTTCCAAGCGGGATCGTTAGGAAGTGAAACAAGGGGCTTTTCTGGATGCAGGTGAATCTTGATTGTTTGTTTTTTTTTCATTTTTGAGACAAGAAGAAGGCCTTTATCAGGCTCTTTTGAATTCCACAATGGAGCCTCCGTTCTCCTGTGACGGCTTCCCGTTTGAAAAGCAGCTTTGCAGAAGCCTGTTGTGCAGATGGAGAGACTACAGGACACATTCTCTAAGGGGGATTTGATTCAACTGACAGATCCGTTTGGGTCTGGAGTGTGGCTGGGTGTCCCCCCATTTAGTGAAACACTAAAACAGCTGTTGGCCCTGAGATTTTAGAATTAACAGTTGTTTGGGGGGGGAGGTGACCTGTCATACTTTCTGAGATTTAAATACCTCTAAAGATGTCAGTTCCCTGAATGTTATTTGGGAAGTGGCGTGATGGCAAGGGCTGCTGTCTCAGAACTTGTAGATACTTGGTTCGACACTTTCCGTGTGGAGTTTGCATGTTCTTAGAGGGTTGTACGGGTTTCTTCTCTCTTCCCAAAGGCCTGCTGGTTAGGTTAATTGATGTTTCTGTGTGCCCTGAGCCAGGGTGTCGTCCTGCTCATGTATGGTTCACCTTGAGTGGCTGTGATGAAGGCTTTGAATGTTCCTGTCAGTGTGGATTAAAGATTAGTTTCTTCTCACCTAGACTGATGCTGATTTCGTTTTCATTGGAATTATTTTTTTTTAGCATTTTCTATAATGAAAAGTGGAACAGGGCAATGCAGATGAAAATATATTCGAGTCACGGGGAGTCTTCCTACGGCCTCAGGTAAAAGGAGACAGACCGAGGCAGGACATGAAACCGTCAGGGATGCACAGTCATCATTATGTTATGGATGTGGTGTCTGGGCCCATTGAAAATAATTTTCTTAGCCGTACTACTTTGTTTCTTTTACAAAAATACTGGTAAAAACTGTTTCACACCCCGTTTTAGCTTTCAAGGCTTTTCCAGACGGAGCCTCTATTAAAAAGAGCAGCCTTGACGCTAAGAGATAATAAAACCTCGACAAAACATAAAAAGGCGAAATCAAACTGATACACCACGCATGAAGTGCTTTTTTTTTCCGGAGCCAACTATTAAAAATCTGAAAGATATTCCTTTTATGTTTGAAAATGGAAGAAGTACACCAGCTGTACACCCTCATACACCCCTGACGCACATCATGTAACCAAACGCAGGGACGTACGTATTTGCATTTGCAAAAACCGTATCGACATTAACACTATCCTCCATTTGTAATGGCTCCGGCCACCCGCAGGGGGGGGTAGGAAGACGCTCATTAATTAGACCACAGGTGCGGAATCGAACGTGAGAACAGTCTCGGTTACTGTAATAAGGAGCCTGCGATTTCCACGCCACCACACTCTACACACTGCTACGCTAACAACGCCACTGTGTGTTTCACTCCAAGCACCTTACCCATGCCTGAACATGCCTGAACACATGTATTTCTGTTCCAATTTTGCCCCAGGCTCTGCTTTAGCTAAGCAACCGTGCACAGAAGAGAGATCTTTATCACCATGCGTTGTTCTGTTCGACACAAAGCATTTTTGAGACGCAGCTGGGCGAGTTCTCGGTTCTGTGAGCGATATCCAACAACGCATAAAGTGTTGCAGTGCCTCAAACCCAATCCGTGCAGTTCCTGAAGTTCCCAGAACGAGATTTCCACTCGGAGAAATAAATGCCTAAGTTGCTAATCGGCCATTGGTGTTTTACATACTGACCAGAAGGGCAAATGCAAAGTAAGGTGGTACTGTGGTATTTCTAAAAGATGAATGCTGGTTTTCAGGCCTTGCAGGGGCAGCAACACTTACTGAGCAACACTTCTGTCTCAGCCGTGCCTCATGGGAAGAGCTATGGATTTTGAGAAAAAGCAAAAAAAGGAACATGAGGATGAAATCCATCCATTTCCTAACCCCTTCATCCTATTCAGGGTCGCAGGGGAGACCAAGCCTCTCCTGCCAAGTAACAGCCACAAAACAGGGTACCCCCGGCATGGAATCCCAGTCTCTCACCGGGCACACACAGACACAAACACACGGCCAGTTCTCAGCCTTTGTAATACAGCAGCACTTAGTCGTTAAATACCATGTGAGAGGAGCTCCTTTAATGGGGAAGAGGGCTCTCTGACTTACTCCAAAGGTCTGTTGACAGAGCCCTTTGGAACATTTGTAGAACATTAATGCGAGGTTTTACAGAAAGCATGAGTCGGGTAAGAGTCACCAGAAACACCTCTTTGTTTTATAGTGTTCGTGTTAAAGAAAACGCTCTCACCAAGCTGTGTTTTGACATAATAAAAACAAGTTAAACAGACATTTGAGTCTGTCGCCTGTACAGCAGAGGCCTTGGTTCAACTCAATATGCTGCTATAACACTTGCAAAACAAGATTCCTGAAAGCTTTCACATGCGTATTTGTAAAGAAGAAGCCATTATCCGTTGTGTGAAACCAAGGTATTTAACAAAAGACACCATTATGAACGTTTGCCACTGCTGGTCTTTGTTATATTTGAGGTAACCATGGTGACACTAGACTGTGACAAAGCAACAGTTTTTAATCATTTATATTCGCCAGGCCTGTCCAATCCTGGCTTTTAACAGTTCATTAAGGTAGGTCATGGCATTATTATAACCTACTGTAATAAAGATGGTAAAGCCAAATTACATCACAGTCAAATCATAGTAAAACAAGGTATAGGAAAACTCTATTTATACTCTGGTTATCAAAGGTCAAAAATATCTTAGACACATCAGAAGTTAAAATATACAGTATGTTATAGGTATTCTCATTTTAAATAAAATCTCCAGTACTGCTTTCTTTTACTATAACTGTTTTGTAATCAATACAACTTAGTTAGGTTAGAAGAAACCAACCTTGTATTTAGCAGCCTTTTATTCACTTTAAGATCACAAGAAACGTTACAAATTGAGCCACTAGCCTGTTTGGTGGTGAGTAGTTAATTGATCCCAGGATGTCATCCAGCTGTTTCTGTAAAGAAGCCAGGGTATTGGCTTCAACGGCACAGCTGGGCAGCTTGTTCCACTCACCCACCACCCTTTGGGAAAAGAAGCGCACCTTGTTCTCAGTTTTTAAGTTGCACTTTCACACAGCTCCCAGTTGTGCGTTCTGCTTCGTGTTCCACTATTTATTCTGATGAACTCTGTGGTTTGACTTTATCAACGTACAGTATTTGAGGATTTTGAATACTTATATTGTATCAAGTACTTTAGAAACCTTTGATCAGAATGTTCAAAGGCCTGAACACAACACGTCTGAGAAAACTATACCTGAGCAATGATTAGGATTTGTTGTTGGAGCTGATCCATTACATTTGCCATTCAAACCTGAATAACTTGTTGTCGTGTGTTACTTGTCATTAACATTCAGCAGAGACCCGTAAAATGTTATTTTTTACTACAGAATGAAGTTCTATCAGAATAAACTATTCCATAACATTTTAGAAGAAGATCATTATATAATTGTTTCTGCATAAACATACTGTTTAAATATTCAAGAATTACAGTATAGTTATAACACCCCTTAAGATACACTGAACTGAAGTGATTAGACTGTCAGTTCTGACTCCTAGTAACATTATGTAAAGTCCAAAGACCAGCCCAATTACAAAAAAAAATACATTTAACAAACTCATTCATACTGTATGTTGTCTAGCCGGATGTGATACAAAACCCCAAAATGATTTGTCAAGTCCTCAGTAAGCCAGCTTCCGGGTACAATTTCACCATCATTAAAATCACAACGGGACTGAGATTTGAACACTGAGCAGAACAAATCCCATTGAGATAGAAAGACCTTTTTATTTATAAAGCACTGATACTGATATCAGCACAAGGACACACATAGGCAGGTGTTCTGACTCAACACAACAGGAATGCACAGAACAAAGCACTCTGGATAAAGATACAGCTTTACTGTGTCCTAGCAGGTGAATACAAAACACTTTAATTATAAGAGGTATGTGTGTGGGGACAATGTATTTTCTCCTTTCATGTTAGTTTTCTTAATAGTTGGAAATTTAGTGTCTATGTCTTCCCACCAGATGTCCAATTTGAAATAGCATTGCTGCCTGGCATCACTGGAGCCCAGGGTTCAGTTCCTGGGGTGTGTTTGTGTGAAGTCTGTGTGATCTCCCTGTGTCCTTGTGGGTTCCCTCTCTGTCCAGAGACATGCTGGTGGGTTAATTGGCTTCTGTGAGAACTGGCCGGGGTGTGAGTGTCAGTGTGTCCGTGTGTGTCCTGTCACGGACCAGCGTCCTGGCCAGGGTGTATCCAGGGTGTATCCAGGCTTGTGCCTGTTGCTTGCTGGGATAGCGAATAAGGGACATACAGATGAGTGGAGAAGCAATTTTACAATTTAGAAAAAAAAACCCAAAGAAACTGGGTTATCAGTGTGTGAGACAGACACATAACTTACATGCACGATGAAAATGCAGGTAAAAAAATAAAAAGCAGTTACCAAAATTAAGCAAGTTAATAGCCGTGGGAATAAAGGATAACGTGTATCTAGGTGGTGTACATTGTTGCAGGTAGGGTGTGTTTAGACGGCTAGGACTCTTGACTCCTGAGTGCCTGCAGGCATAGGGTTGTAAGAATTGGATTAAGCTTTAAGAAGTGCAAATCTAAAACACTAAGAAACCACTATTCTGGGATAAGCGATTATTTTTTTCTTCAAAATGAAATTCGATCCTTTAATTGATACGTCGTATATTTACGAAAACGTCCAGTTAAAGAGTAGGATATATTCAGACATGAAATCTCGAATCTCGAATAAGGGGTTTCTGGCTAATATAGAGACACCTAGTAACCACTATTTTAAAAAGCATCCAATTTTTAGCGATATAAAATGTCATAGTGTTACAGCCGTGTTTTAAAGAACTTTTCTGCACATGTGCCCAGGTATGGCAACTCATTTGACGTAATCGTTGCGTCATCGTTCGTGGCGTTAAAACTACACCGATGGCGAATAGTTAGTTAGGAAAAAACGCCGATTCTTATCTAGGCACAGCATCGCATAAAGTACAGGAAAAGATAGCACAGCTCTTTCGCAACCTCGGTTTCTATAACCCTTCACCCACCCTCGCCTGCCAGCGGCCTCGGCCAGGGGCGACCCCGGTCATGTGACCATGACGTTTGGGCCACGCCTCCCCTTGGGTTGTACTACCTTTACAGCTTTGGGGGCGATAGAGAAGACAAATACGTTATAAGATTTTTTAGTTTTAATTTAAAAAGAACAATATTTAAAAGAAATACTGTGAGAATATAGTCAATAAATCATTTTAAATGGAAAAAAATCTTTAAAATAATTTATAAGTTAAACATCCCTGTCTTCACCTTCCCTCTGCCCCCCCCGGGTCACTCGAAGATTGTAGCCGTCGGTGTGGCTCTCCGGGTGTTATTGCGCATGGTCAGTGCTGGAGTTTCCGTACTGGGCTGAAAGTCTGTGGTGCAGGTGAGTGGCTTCAGTTGGGTTATTTGTGGGGGAGTCCGATGTGGTTTTTGTTGCTGTTCGGTTTAATTACGGTGGTGCATCGAGTTCCTTCGCGAAACTCGTAGGAAAAGACGCATCTGAATACCGTTTTTATCCGTGACATTCACGCCGGCTCAGTGCTGGCTGTACTGCAGCCGGC